GATAAACAGGTAGACCAACCCAAAACTATTTATGTAGGCAACAAAGTTTACGGTATTCTTTATTTATTTATTTATTTATTTTATTTACGTGTGGGAATAATTATAAAAAATTAATATTTACAAAGTCGACATAGAAAATTAATCTAACAAGATTTCATATAACTATTTTATTTCTTATAAATTAGTGAATATAGTTACAACTTTTTAAAACCTTAACTAGTGATGAGTGATCTCGGGCGTTGCCTCGAGTTGCTATTGTTGTAGACGTACAATCGGTAATTTTTTTAAAAGGCTTTTTAAAACTGCAATTGTCACTGTCAAACCATAATTGAGTTATTCTTTGAATGTAGTTTTTTTATTTTTTAATTAAACCTTGTGGTTTGTAGTTATATGAACTTTTTTCCATACAAACAACATAGTTGATATTAGCTTAGATGGTTAAATAGTCATATATCTTTTTAGAGGTTGAGAGTTCAAACCTCCTTATCCTTAAGTTTTTATATGGACTAATGTTGGCATGTCGACGTTTTAGGAACGTCTTTTAATATATTAGTATAAATTATGGGACAATCTTTAAGAGACGGAAGTACTCAGTGCTTGTTTATTTCACCTAAGTTTTGTTTACCTGATTTGATCTGAACTTATATAATCTAATATAATTTGCTAATTGTCTAATTTTAGTAAATTTTGACTTCATATGTAAGCTAATTTACAAGGGTAAAATATATTAAAGGGGATCATTTTTTTTAGGAGAAAAGGGGGTCTTGTTAGATTTGCAATAACGTGTAGGGGGGTCTTGTTAGATTCGCAATAATGTATTGTGTATCTTAATAATATGTAATTTTCATAGAATTTATAGATATCTATATTTACAAGAAAAAACCCGCATATAAAACGGTAAAGTATGTCAAAGCTTATTTTTCTTGATTTAAATATAAGTAAAAAGAAGATGAACTAAACATATTCTTTTAATTCATGCTATGGCGACAACTTAGATACATCAATTACAAAATAAGTGGGCTTTAATCAAAATTCTAACATGGGTTGAGACTAATTATGTTCTACTGTTTAATAATCTAGTCTAGTTTGTAAAGTCTCTTTGTTCTTAATATTGCCTTTTGGCTTACTGTTCTTAAATACTTGCGACATTTTGAAATTTTAACACGGAACCATTATTATTATATTGTTTGTCTTTTCATTGTTTTTCTATAACTACATTTTAGAAAAGCAAGTGTTGTAAGTTAACTTGCAAGTACGGAGTATTTGAGAATGGAGAAGGGATTATAGTTGTTGATCCATCATGTACTCGTTGAAAATGCAACTTGTAGCATAGTTTTACACGGATAACATGCACAATAAAAATATAATTATTCGTACTATGTAACAATTATATATGGATGTGAAATGCCAAAAATTTAATGCCTGCCAATTAAGTGCCAAAATATCAGCAATACTATGATAATGATAGATGAGGAATAATATCGAGACAAATCATTTTCTTGATTAATTAACATAAGAATACTAAAGATGCACGGCAATTTCTAACACTTGAAACCATCCTTTTTTTTTTCTTTTTTTTTTGTTTTTTTTAAGAGAAAGACAAAACAGAAATTTCATTATCAATGTTGAGAGGTTTGTTAAAGAACAGATGGTTTCACAAATTAAATGCAATATTCAATGATTTGTTAATGCCTTTAAATGGATGGAAACTATAAGCAGTTGACAAGTGGAGATTAAATTAGTATCCACAAAGTTTCATATGTGGCTGGCCGCACTGTACGGGCGTACGGCCAGTCACAATATAATTTTTTATTTTTGTAATTCTTTTTTCTCTGTCTTCTCTATCTCCTCTTTCTCTCTCCTCTGATAATTTCTACTTCTCCAATTAGCCACCATATCACCCCTTCACCAAACTATCTCCTCTTTCTCTCTCCTTTCTTCTCCAAAAAAGGGCAGAATACTTGCAAAACAAACCACCTGCAGTTACAAATGAAGTACGCATGTCCTCCACCAACCCGTCGTCATACTCCGTGAGCTCCTTATACTCCATCATCGGAAAACAACTTAAAGGTTTTTAAAGCCAAATTCGGCCATAAAAACTATAGATCTAGAGTTTTCATAGTCGAATTTGACCTTTTTAGCCATATTTGAAGTGAAATTCGAAACAATTGTTAATTTTAAAGGTATTTGTTCGATTTAATTTTTTTTTCTTAACGATTTGGTTGTGAGTTCGGTTGGATCTATGTTTGTTTGTGGATTTGGTGTATGGTGAAGGTGGCGGCATGGTGTATTGGGGGTGGGGCTAGTAGCGTTTTGGGGGTGGTGGTGGGTCAAGGGTTACTATTTCGGGGGTTACTTAAGGGATTACTAAATGGGTAGGTCGGGGGTTACTTAAGGGGTTACTAGATAGGTTACTTAAGTGGGGTTACTTGGGAGATTATTTAAGTGAGGTTAGTGGAGGGGGTTAGTCGAGGGGTTACTGAGGGTTTACTTAAGTGAGGTTACTTAAGGGGTTACTAAGTCGGTGGGGTTATTAAAGGGGTTACTAGGTCGGAGGGGTTACTAGAGGGGTTACTTGAGGGGTTACTAAGTCGGAGGGGTTACTTAAGGGGTTACTAGAGAGGTTACTAGATGGGTTACTTGAGGCGTTACTTGGTCCGGTCAGTTACTTGGTGGAGGGGTTACTAGATTGGTGGGGTTACTAGGTTAGTGGGGTTACTTTGTCATTTGTTGATTTGACACTCTGCCGCATGGTGCGGATTGCCGCATCAAAAACACACTGATTAGTTTTTTTTTTTTTTTTTTTTTTTTTTTGAAAGACGTTTAATATCAATTTTATTAATCAATGGAGAAATTGTCCATTAGAACATAAGGAGAAATTACAGAAGGACAACTTCCCTCTTGCATTACACGCACTTATTAGTATCATTTGTAGACTTTATAGTCAAATTTTTTGATACGTTCAAATTGGAAATCTTTTACGGTAGCACGTTACTGATTTTGGAAGTTTTTAACAACTATGATATTTTCTTGAAATAGATTTTATAATTGGCGGGCTAATCAACGCTCCGGAAGCATTGGAGCAACTCCATTGGTTATAGGTAGTAGGTAGGGATTTGCTTGTAATAATTTTTAAGTCTCTAGCTACTAGCTTGACCATTGGAGCTATAAAATACAATCAGCTTGTCCAAGTTAATGTTTGAGAAAAAAGTTCCAAAATTTTTGGAGATAAATATTATAATAATTAAATTTATAAAACTAATTGAGAAAGTCAAGTTTATATAATTAGCAAGCTAGTAGCTAACTATTGGGTACAAAATAGCTACAAAGAGGATTAGCTAAAAATTATACATGGCATGGCTAGCTAAATTAACAATTGGCTTACCATCGGAGATGCTCAATAACATAGCTAAAATTAGAACTTTTAAATTGAAATGAACATTAATTACACTGATCGACTCTTGATTTTGCATGTACTCCAAAATTAGTACCATTTAAAAAAAAATTAATTGATTATTTAACGTGTTAGGAGCGTTCGTTAGCAAGATCTGTAACACTTTCAAATGCATATGAAAGCATTAGTAAATCAACACTCCCTAAAACTTTTATGTATACTCAGTGTACAATAATTTTAGCGTAAATGGACCAATTTTAGGGTAAATTTTTAATATTTTGGATAGTATTTTATCTATTTAAAGGTGATTTCTAACTCATTGTTTAGTTTTTTTTTTTTTTTTTTTTTTTGTACCCATTAAAAGCTGATGTTTTAGAGAAAGGTTTTTTTTTAAAAAAAAAAAAATCAAGGATGATATACTTACCTGAATATATCAAAGTTGTACCCAGTTAATTCCGCAGATAAACAAAATATAATCACCTTTTTAAGTACCAATGGAGGGGTATATGTGTCTTTTTATGTACTAGTTGAGGAGTACATGTATAATTTCCTCACCAAACGGTAAAAGCAAGTTGCAAACAATAATTGAACAGCTCACCAAAAGTACTGAAAAATGACCACACTTTTTCAATATTACAAAAATGCCATCAGATTAACAAAAAATCTTTTATAAACTTGTAATTGCCTAATATATCAAGAACAGTTTTTACATGGTTGATTTTTGAAAAGAAAAGCTATTTACCTATAAGAAAATGATTATTATAAAAAAATTTGTTATGTGTAGAAGTGCATCTCTTTGATAGTTTGATCTACACTCTTGTTACTTGTTAGGACCGTCTTGAGTTAATCAATAAACTAAAGTTAGGACCGTCCTAAGTTAATCAATATAGTTAGGACCTTTTAAAAGAAAATTGGTCATTGTTAGGACTGTTGGTATCAATTTTTCCAATTTAAAAACTTAATGAGTATTCTATTCTGAATTTGACCCAAACCAGTGCTAGTCCGAAAGACCAAAACAAATTTCATGCATGATTAATATTTAAGAATTAGCTTATTCGAGCTTTATCCAGACTTGCAATAATCAGGTCTTTTTTTTTTTTTAAGAAAATAGTCAGGTCAAAACTTGGTTCAAGTACAATACTTAACATTCCAAACTTGACTTAAGCCCATACTAAACCGGTAAAATCTCATCCCAAACCCAAACAAACTTGAACTAACCAAACCAATATGGACCCAAATTAATACCAACTCAAAGCTGAAACAATTAATTATCTAAACTTCACTCAAATTTAAAGAAACTCGATCCAAATCAACCCATTTGACCCATTGTCCTAACTTATTGATAAATAAAGATATCATTAGTTTAAGTTTTACTCCGTACATTAGTATATCTGTCCACAGAAATATTTCCCTTAAAAATACGGAAGGAGTACTTATTATTTGTAGTTTTTAGTGCAACACTTATATTTAATTTAACATCTTCACCAAAAGAAAAATATATTAATTTAACAAAATTCACGTCAATCAAGTAACTCTTTATATTAAACAAAATTTCATTACAACCGAAAAAACATCCATGGGTGGCAGAGAATGGAGAATGGGAAACTTGTAAAAAAAATATTTAAGGGGAAAGAGTAAAGTTACCACATTGTAACACTTTATTTTACAAATTAAATGTAAAATTTATCTACATTATTGTCCTTTATCACCATCTAATCCAAAAGCCGTAAAGATTGTCGTCTTCACTAGACATGGAACATTGGAGCCTCTCTGCTGCATCGCTGTGCATTAGCAAAGCGAGCAGAATTATCACTAAGTTATCTACATCAAAGTGAAGGATCCAAGCCAAGGATCCTCTCAGCACTCACTAATTTATCCACATCAAAGTGAAAGATCTAATTAATCTCCTGCAACATGAGGATCATGGGCAACATTGACCATATTCATAACAAACTACCCCAAACAGACCAACCAAACCCGCAAACTGCAAACTAAGCAACATCGGAAAATTGTATTTGTAACGTCCTACTGAGTTACAGTGAAAAAACTTAATGTTGCATAATTACATTATTGCAACTTATTTAGACTTTTAAGAGCACAAGATGAATCCAAACACATTCAGATCTGAGCAAGCATATGATCGCCGCCAGAGACTTTGAACTCAGATGGAGCTTTTTCGACATTAAAAATCTTAACTTTCCCATCCTCCACATAAGCTGACCATCTGCGCGTACACAGCAAAACCACACAGATGATCGGTGAGAACAGGAAGTCAAGGCAAATGTACTAAAGTGGGTCAGCTAATAACCTTCTTAATGCCATTGTCAGTTCCCATGAACAATCAGAGAATAAGAGAAGTCAAAGATTTGTTACCTGTGAGAGCGAGTTCCAAGCAAAGCAGCAGAGAGGTCTATTGTCAAGTCCAAGCTCTTGTGAAAGCTTGCATCAAAGTCCCCATAAAATTCAATCTGGAAAAATAAACATTAACAAATAACTGATTATAACATGGCACTATGAACACAATCATCATCATCATCAATCGTCATCGTCATTATCATCATCATCATCATCATCATCATCATCATCATAAACAAAAAAAAGGAAGCTCAATCCACCAGTACAATGAATTTTAGTAAATTCCTCATAATCCTGACTCGTTGAAACCCGGAAAAGATACAAATTGAATTTTAAGAACACATTCACTAGTCACTAACATCACCACCACCAGCACAACAAAAAAGTCTTTATCCTAAAAGGATGGGGTTGGCTGAATGAACCAAAAACTCATAACTTCTGCTTGTCTACAAAGGTTATTCTTATTCACTCTCCCCATCAAAGTCATCATTGGCCATTCTAGGCTTCTTCTGAAGTCCCCATAATCCCAACTCTCCACTTTCTTTACCACAGCATATACTAGTCGCTGTCACACATGTCCAAACCAATGCTGATTGTCCTTTTTTTTTTATCCTCAACACTTAAACTCCAACCTTGATTTAAATATCCTCAATTTGAATACCATCAATTATTCAATTAAGGCTTTTTAAACTCCAACCTTGATTTAAATATCCTCAATTTGAATACCATCAATTATATAATTAAGGCTTTTCCACACATCCATTTAAACATACTCATCTATTTAATAAACTCTAAATCCCCAGTTCAGCATGTGCATCTTTGCAAATACTGCTACACTCATCTAATGTCATTACATCCCTGCTTAGCTCACTTAGAACACACTCTATCAAAACTCAACTAGTGTTAGGCCCGGGCGATGCCCTGAGTTACTGCAAATTGTCCACAATAATAATCTTTATTAATATTTAATTTTTACAAAATGACATGTAATATGGTAGTAGCTTAGTGGCTAACACGTTGGAGTTTAAACTTGAGGTTGCTGGTTCAAATCTTGTAAAAATCATATTATTAGACATAGAGGTGTAAATCGGATTAAATGGGAAGAGCGCCATGTGACACTTAAACTTCTTTAGGAACGCCTTTTAATATATAAATAATATAGATAAATTGTATGCATTGTAAATTAGAGGGTTTTCTAACCACCAAATTTCAAATTAGCGAAAACAACAAATATGCAATGAGATCATATGAATATCATGCAACTCTAATCTAGCAATACAGTTATAACTAGTCTTTTATAGTCCTTTTTCTGTACTCATATGCTAGTGAGAAAACCTTACAGCATAAGAACTCTTAACAATTAAAAATCCAGCAAATTCGGCAGAAATTGCATGAAATATAGAAAAAGAAGATAAAAAGTATCATTGTTAGGTTCTAATCAATGTACTAGACACCAATATCATTTGGAAGTAATGCATTGAAGTGCTTGTGTCGGGAAGTTGGTTAGTAGCGTATGACATTAAGACTCCTAGCTAATTATACTAATAGAATAGTGAATATAAAGCTTAATTGATTTTGGAAAATTTGTTAAAACAACCTTTTATATAGATCTTATTGTGAGAAACAACCTTTTAAAAGATTTCTGGTAAGTTAAAACCAAACAATTTTTTTTTGTAAGATGAAACCTTGCTCTCTTTTCCAGCATTGATTAAGAATTTTACGGTATTGACCGTTGAATAATTTAGAGTATTGTAAGCAAAATTCATGTTGTTTAATTAATTAACTTAGATTATGGTATTGTATATTGATTAAACAAGAATTTGAAGCAAATTACCTTGGTTTAGAGGGAAGAGAGAAAGCAGCCCGGTTAGGGCTAGCTACGCCCGGCAAGGCACGAGTGAAAGAGGACGGCAAATAAGCCGTTCGACCGAAGAGCAGCGAAGAAATTGAGCAGAGCAACCATCTGGTCGGGCCACCACTGCCTCTTGGGGGCGAGAATGATTTTCTGAAATTGGGTTTCACCACCCGGTAGGGCCACCACCACCCAACCGGGCGCGTGAGGTTTCGAGTTTCACAGCACTCACTCGCCCGTTAGGGTGAACCATTAGGTTGTGCAATGAGTGACAGTAATCTTCTTCGTTGGCTTGTTTATTTGCTTTGATATATATATGTTCATGAAACATATGATGAAAATTAATTCAACAAAAAAATCAGGTTATTAATTTTCTGATTTTCTCTCAACACCATTTTGCAAACTCCAGTTTTCATCATCATAATTACTCAAATTTTGCTTACATTAGATCATAAACATACTACACATTGTTGTGATAGTATTCATTGTATCTCCTAGTAATTTCGTGATGCCCGGTGTGTATACTAAGGGTCGAAATATTACTTTGGGAAAGTGATCTTGTTCACGCCTCGGATCCATTTTTGTAACCCAGTAAGCTAATTTCTAAACAATCCAAAGTAATATTTTCCTGCAAAGATGACAACAATGAAAGAATTGACAACAAACTTTCAGAAATTAGACAAGTTTGAAGGTGTAGACTTTCAAAGATGGCAAAAAAAAAAAAAAAAAGATGCAACTTCTGTTGACATCTTTTAGAGTGGCATCTATTCTCACAAACCCAAAGCCAATGGAGGAGGAAAACGAGACATTGGGAGATACTAGGAAACGGAGCAAGTGGGAGAATGATGACTACATTTGTCGTGGGCACACCCTTAATGGTATGTCAAATGAGTTGTTTGATATTTATTTGTTTCATTATTCCACTAAAATGCTTTAGGATGACTTAAAGTCTAAATATATGGCTCGGGATGCATCTAGCAAGAAATTCCTTGTTAGTAAATTTAAAAATTATAAGTTTGTTGTCAGTTGGCCGGTCATGGAATAATATCACGAGGTTTAAAGGATTTTAGAGAGTCTTAGGCAACATGAAATTAATCTTGATGAGAACTTTATAGTTTCTTCTATAATAAACAACTTGTCTTCCTCTAGTAAGATGTTAAGGATAAATTAAAGCTTAGAAAAGATAATATTAATCATGAGGGATAAAGTTCCCACATTCGGATTGAAAAAGAAAACTGGATTTAAGAAAGACTAAAGGAGATAAATCCTAGTTCTACCACTGTTAACATGGCGGAGGATGGAAAGTACAATGAGAGGAAGAGAGGATATGACTCAAACAAACAAAAGGGCAAAAAGCCTAAAGTGAGTGGTGATAGTAAACCCGGTCATTTTAAGAAGGATTGTGCAATCTCGAAGAAGAGATTGGGCAAGAAAAAGTCTCAAGGTAGGAAAGGCAATGCTAAACGATCCCAAGACAAACAAGGTAACTCTTATGCATTAATTTCATTTAATTCATTTATGGATTAGTGTGTATGATTTCTTAAATCAATTGTGTACAGGCTAATTGTTCGTGGTAGGGCGCATCGAGACATGTATGCAAAGATAGATTATTCATGACATTCATGGAGGTTGATGCTGGAATGATTTTCTACATGGGTAATGCCTATCGCTAAGGTGCTAAGCAAGTGGAATGATTTTCTATATGAGCTAGTGTTTAGGTTGGGAAAATGTCTTATTTAAAAATGTGTTATTTGCTCCCGAAGTTAGGAAAAATCTTATACCCGGTGCGATCTTGAATCGATTAGGATTTAAAATGGTTTTTGAGTCGGATAAGTTTATTTTGTCTAAAGGTGGTCAAATTGTAAGACTTGGATATTTGTGTGACGTTATGTTTAAGTATTTTTAATGCTTTTAAAGATCGTGTGTATGTTGTGAATGACAATTCTTCTCTATGGCATTTAAGACTTGGTCATGTTACTTATAAAAAGTTATATGTTATATTTAAGCATGATTTGATACCCATGTTAGAGAAGTGCAAGACATGCATGTTAAAAAAAATCACAAGGACACCAATTCTTAATGTTGTTGAGAAAAATACTTCCTTGCTTGATTCAGTGCATAGTGACTTATGTGATTTTCACAACAAACCTTTAGGGGGAATAAGAAATATTTGGTAACATTCATTAATAATTTTTCAAGATTTTGTTATGTTTATTAGTTATTTTCTTAAGATGAAGCCCTAGACAAAATTTAAAATCGAGTAGAATTGCAAACTAATAGAAAGATCAAAAGCTTAAGAACCGATAAAGGAGGCGAATACTATAATCCAAGTTATTTCCGAGAGTAGGTTTAGTACATGAAACTACCGCGACATATACACCACAATAAAATGGTGTAGCGGAAAGGAAGAATAGGACACTAGAAGAAATGGTTAATTCTATTTTGTCCTATTCGGGTTTAAGTGATGGATTTTGGGGTGAAGCCGTTTTAACGGCTTATTACGTATTAAATCGTGTTCCCATGAAAGGGAAAGATGTAACCCCACATGAGCTATAGTATAAAAGGGAAGCCGTTTTAACGACTTATTATGTATTAAATAGTGTACCCATGAAAGGGAAGGATATTACCCCATATGAGCTACTATAAAAGGAAATCAAACTTGGGTCATCTCAAAGTTTGGGGTTGTAGGGCAATTATAAAAGTGCTGGAGCCTAAAACGTAAAAAGTTAAGTGAAAGAGGAGTGGAATACATTTTTATAGGATATGTTGAACATAGCACATCCTATAGGCTCTATGCAATAAAACAAAATGGCTATTGGTCTGTTCATACCACCATAGAGTCTAGGGATGCATTGTTTAATGAAAATAAATTTTCGTCAATTCCTAGACCAAAGGATGTTACTCCAAATACCGAATCTTAAAATTTTGATCACGTTTTAAGAGGTAGATGATCAAACTCATTTAAAAGAGGCATCTACATCATCATCATAACCTAGGATAAGTAAGAGGGCAAGAAAAGAAAAATCCTTTAGTCCGGATTTTCATGTGTACTCCCTCCGTTTTTTTTTTATATGCATCACTTGGTGATGCGCGGAGTTTTAGAAGGGTAATATAATATTAGGAGTGGATGAATAATTTATTATAGCATAAGTAAGATGGGGACCATGAAAGAGAAAGAATGTGAGGGAGAGTAGATATTTTTATTATATAAGTGGGGACCATAGAGGAGAGAGAAATGATAAAATAATTTAAGTGGGGTTT